TTTGTGGGGGATGTCTAAGTACAGAGGGTAAAGTGTGAAGCTTCCTGGTGGTTTCATCTGTACAGATTTCATAAACACATGTTAATTGATGTGGCCACCAACTGCTTTCCCGTTGGGAATCTAATTTACTGCCTGGATGATGGAGGTAGTGCAGTATTACAGATGAGGAAATAGAGGCTTGGGGAGAGTGAAGTAGCTGCCTAGGAAGTGGATGCAATGAGAGGGTGGCTGAGTCTGATTTCTGCCCACTTCATAAAGGGGAACTTCCCCCATCAATAAAATCCATAGCAGCAGGCAGATAACTTCTAAGTCAGACACGCCACTCCCCACCACCACCACCATGCTCCGGCACCTATTTCCACCAATCATTGGGTCCGGTATTGTATTGATTGTTGACTCACAGACTTTACTCACAGTTGTGACACAAAGAATGGGATTTATTGAGAAAATAGGTTGGGAATAGGTCGGGGAGTGGGAGAGGCAAAGAATACTGCACAATTCAAGTCCAGGTGTAGTCCAGTAGTTTCGAGTCAGATTAACAGCAAAACAGAATTCCTTAATTAGTAAAAGGCCTGGTGTCAGTTCAACAACACAGATTCAAGAAGCCTCTGGTTTCCTCAGTCATCCAGCAAAGTTTGCCTCAGAGCAGTTATAAGTCAGCTTCTCCTTAAGTCATCTTGCCAATCTGTCCACCACCAGTGTTGTGGGATCTCACTCAATCTCACTCTCATCAAAACCTCACCTCTACAGTGTACTCTCTTTTATCCTAACCCCACTGCTGATGATTTACAAGACCATGTATCTGCAGTTAAGGCAGCTGGAGACCAGCGGGGGCCAGTGAAATGGCCAGAAAAGCCAACTTTTAAACTGATACCTCAGTGGCTTACTCGAAGTCACACAGTCATTTAATGTGGCAGAGCTAGGCTTTGTTTGAAACTACATGTACAGCTTTTTCATTTTCCAGTATAACTTGTTTTCTGTCCACTGTCTATCAGGCTAGCCTGTTGTGACTGTAACTCTGGGAGGTGAATAATGCTCTCTCTCCTCTTTACAGAAAGGGTTAATCATTTCCCAAAGCCTCATTGACGGGTATTAGTAAGTAAGCAAGGATTTTGCTGACTTTGGGGATGTAACTTCAGGACATGCCAGAAATTCTACAAAATTGCATGCAAATATTTGTCCGTATTTGCCCTTTTCTGAATACCAGGCGAAGGCCTAGGGAGCTCTGGTAGCCTAGAAGTAAGGAACTGTGCTGCCAATCCAAAGGCAGATGGTTCAAATCCACTAGCTACTCCACAGGAGAAGGATGAGCAATCTTCCGTGTGATTTACGGCATTGAAAACCCATTGGAGGGTCAGCTATGAGTCAGTTCGTGCTCTATGACACATAATAACAGCACAGGAGGAGAGATAGTTTTCACTATGTCTTGAACAGCCAAACAAAAATATACAAACAAAAACTGAGCCACTGAGCTCAAGGGCAATGGCACAGTAAGCCACAGTCATCGCTGACCCACCATTGCCTCTTGGGCCTGTGTTCTTGAGGCTCTGGGATTCTCACCTCTCTTGTGGAGTTGAGAATCATTTGAGTGTAGATGCTGTGCTGTACCGTGCTGTGCTTTGAGCACTCAGTACTGTGTCCCTGTAGCCTCTGTCCCCTTCACTAACACCTGGGGATAAAGCCTGGTTGGTTGGTGGTTGATTAAAAGACTAAATGAGTGATGGAATGATTGAGCAGCCAGGCATTAGGGATCTCTGCTGATTTTTGTTCTAGTGTAACAGGGAGGTCTCTACTTTGTTACAGAGAAGTTGTAGAGAAGTTGAGGTCAATCTGGTGTTCAATTTCCCAGTCAGGACTGGAGAGACCATAGAAGCCCAGGGCCTGAGTCCCCCCTTACTGATGGAATGCTGTGTGTAAGTGAGTTCCGAGAAGCAGCTCTCTGTCACAGCACTTAGCACCCCACAGAGGGGGACAGGACAGCGGGGAGAGAACTGTCTTGGCCCTCTAGTACTCCTAGCTTCCCTGGCCCAACCAAAGCTCCCTGTTGAACCTCCAGTGGTCTCTTGCATCTAGACATTGACTTGTCCCTAAATACAGCTCACTGGCTGGGACCCATCTAAGAGCAACTGTCCTTCACCGTTACCAGCAGTCCCATTTTGGAGCTGAGAAAACTGAGGCTTACACTGACTTACCCAGGCCACACAATGAGTAAGCATGGAGCTGGGACTGGGGCCAACTGTGCCTGGTTCCAAAGCCATACAACTCACCACATCTTCTCATTACATTGCCAGGAAGCCTTTAGAAGGTCAACCGCCAGCTGGAGGCCTCTTCGAAACATGGAGGCCACTCCTTCGTCTGGCTGGAGAGCTGGCTTCAGCCCAGTAGGGTCATTGCTGAGGTTATCTTTCCTGTTTAGAGAGAGAGAATGGGCCTCTGGAATGTCAAGTGGATGTAGTGCCTCTGCCTCCTGAGCTTAGTGGAAGGGACTTTACAACAAGCCGGGATCGATACTGTTCCCCTTTCCCTGCACCCCTACTTGAAACAAGAAAAGAGTGAAGAGGGTCAAGTGAGCAGGAAGAGCCGTGTTAGTACGTGAGCACAGTTTATTTTGTGTCCCTCTCTGTATCCTACACTCGGGCGGGAGCCCTTTGAGAACCTGGACCTGGTTACTTGGTGGGTGCTGAAAGAATGAATGAATGAATGAACGACCTGGGCGTTAGAGATTGGCCTTTTAGTCCAGGACCTGCCAATAACAATCTGCATGGCTGTGGCCACCCTCATCTCTTTTCTTGGCCTCAGTTTCTTCATCTGTAAGTTCAGGATGTTGGACAAAAATGCAGACTCTGATGCTCTGATTTCATGAGGGCAACTGCTTGGGGCGGTGGAGAAAGGCAGGAGGCAGGGACTGGGTTCTGTGTGTGCATGAAGGCTTCCCCTGGGGTCTTAGCAGTGCACCATCAGATGTGGATACCTGGCAGGAGAGGGGCCGCGTGCAGGCTGGGACGAGAAGGAACACACAAACCAGCATGAGAGGCTGCTCTCTAAAGCTGCACGTTTCCAGGGAAGTTTGGGGTTTCTTTTTTTCAGGAGTGAAAGTCCTACACAATACCTGGGTATCAGAGTTTCCTATAGGGTAGGCTCTGTTTGTCCTGGTCCAAATACAGGTTTTACGTAAGCACAATCTAGTGTTCTGGTATTCTCATTCTTCTCAGAGTCAGCCACAGTTCATTATGATCCATACAGTTAGATGCCTTCTCATGGTCAATGAAACACAGATAGATAATCCTCTGGTACTCTCTGCTTTCAACTAAGATTCATCTAACATTGGCTATAATGTCCTTAGTACCATGTCCTCTTCTAAACCCAGCCTGCACATCTGGTAGTTTTCTGTTGATGTGCTGCTCCAGTTAGTTTTGGATAATTTTCACCTGAATCTTGCTTGCATGTGATATTAATGATGTTTGATAATTTCTACACTCCCACTGTGACACTGATGAATCCGATGCGATAATGGTTACCCATGGTGGACAGTGTTTGGTGGAGCTTCCCGATTAAAACAAGCTTGGAAGCAGGAGTGGCATCCACTTCCTAAATAGCTTGCCTCTGGAAACTCTATGAACTTGGAGAAACGATGAAAATGATACAAATGTTCAAGTCTTTCGTTCATAGGGTCTCTATGAGTTGTCTACAACTCGATGGCACTTAACAACAACTCATGAGTCACATTTTTTTGGAATGGGAAGAAACATGGATCTTTTCCAGTCAGTTGGCCAGGTGGTTATCCTCCAGATTTCTTGGCGTAACTTGGTGAGAGTGTCCAGGTAGCATCTGTTTGTTGAAATATGTCAATTGGTATGCCGTCAATTCCTGAGGCCTTCTCTTTTGCCATTTCCTTCAGAGCAGCTTGAATTTCCTCTCCCCTTCATCACCATGTGTTCTTGCTCATATGTTGTTTCATGACATATTCTTACGTATTATTATATATTATTCATTCTGGTATTGTGACTTGATATACTCTTTCCATCTTTTGATGCTTCCTGGGTCATTTAGGATTCTGCCCACAGCATCCTTAAGTATTACACCTTGAGGCTTGAATTTGTTCTTCAGTTTAAGAAATGTTGAGTATGTTTGTCCCTTTTGATTTTTCAACCCCAGCTTTATGCACATTTCATTATAATACATTCCCTTGTCTTCCTGTAGTGCCCTTTAAAATCTTCTGTTTAGTTCCTTCATATCTTGACTCATTCCTTTGCTTGGCTTCTCAGTGATCTAGTGACCTTTGCCTTCTTCCTGGATGATATTCTTGATATCCTTCCATAGCTCATCTGATCTGTGCTCATTAATATTTAAGGCCTCAAACCTATTCCTGAAATGATCTTTAAATTTAGGAGGGATAGACTCAAGGTTGAACTTCAGTTCTCATGGATTTGATTTTCTTTTCTTTAGCTTCACTTTGAACTTTCATATGAGTAGTTGCTGATCTGATTCACAATCAGCACCTTGGCCTAGTTTTCACAGCTGATATTAAGCTTCTCCAACAATTTTCCCCACAGATGTAAACAGTCTGATTTCTGTGTAAGCCATCAGGTGAGGTCCATGTGTATACTTGTCATTTGTGTTTCTGATAAAAGGTATTTACAAGGAATAAACCATTGACTATACAGAATTCTAACATTCTCTCCCCAGCCTCATTTCTGTCACCAAGTTCATGTTTCCTAACTACAAACTCTTCTTCCTTGTTTCCAACTTTTGCATTCGTCACCCATTATAACAAATGTATCTTGGTTGCTTGTTTGATCGATTTTTAAAAAATTTTATTTTATTAATTTTAATGAACATTTACAGAGATTTTGGATTTCCATTCATTCGTTGTTACACTTTTTCCCCTACCCTCCTCCCCCAGTTCACTCCTCTCTTCAAAAAGATCGATTTTTGATTGTATAGTTGATAGAAGGCATCTGCTTCACCCTGCTCATCTCTTTGCTTTGTGTTTTCCACAGATCATGATCGAGTTCTGTCCTGGGGGAGCCGTGGACGCCATCATGCTGGGTGAGCCATCCTGGGTGACGTGCATGATGGAGGGAGGGGGATTGCCCTTAGCTCTTTGCCTAAGACCTGGACATTCCTTCTGGGACCCACTGCAGTAACTGACAGAGCCTCTTTGAGCCCCACCTTGCATTGTTCCTGGGGAAGTACAGAGGGGCGGGGAGAGAGCAGAACAGCCTTAGAAAGAAATGTTCTTGGGCTTTTCTTCTTTGTCCAGAGGGTTGCTATGAGTGGGAACTGGCTCACTGGCAGTGAGTTTTGTTGAATGAGTAACACTTCTCTTATTGTGCCAGTGAACTGCCCATTCACCCACAGACCATACAATAGGTGGAGGCTTCACTTGCCCAACTCCTCAGCACTATTAGGGATAAAAAGAAGCAACTGAGGGAAGGTCTTTGAGAAGTAGCGGAAGTACCCACCTGTTTTTAGGTGGCTTTTTAAAAAAAATTTTTATTATTAATTTCAGTAAAAATTTATAGAGACTTTGGATTTCCATTCATTCATTGTTGCACTCTTCTCCCCTCCTAACCTTCCCCCCCAGTACACTCCCCTCTTGGAAAAGTAAAAGACAAAATCTTTCATTGTTTTACAAACCCTCCCCCAGGTCCACTCCACCATGTAGCCTTTGCTCTAGACTCCTGTCTTGACAAAAATACCTAATCACATGTCCCTTTTAAACAGTTTTTTCCCTCATCTGTTTCAATGCAGTATACATTATTTAACCCATCTTTCTCAGTCTCTCTCCAACCCTGATGTCAGTCCTGTTTTACAACAGTGGCACCATGCCGTATTTGTCCTTTTGTGACTGAGGTACTTCACTCAGCATAATGTCCTCCAGGGTCACGCATTTTGAATAATATTGCATGAGTTCCTTTATTTTTAATGCAGCATAGTATTCCATTGTGTGACTATACCACAGCTTCTCTATTCACTGTTGATGGGCACTTAGGTTACCCACCTGTTTTTGTATGTGCTCAGTGAGTATGTTGTTGAGTCTTGAGGTTCCAGACAAATGTGAGCGATAAGAAGAGAAAAATTAGTAGCAACCACTGTTTTACAAATAGTCCCTCTATGTCAGAGACAGTAATAGATGCTTTCATGTAGATTATTCACCTCAACTTAGATATAAAAGAAAACAATATATGTTTTACTCTTTTCTATATTTTCATGCCTTTTAAAAAAAGTTTACAAATGGATTTGTTACGGCAACGTTTCACACATTCACCGTGTGTGCAGCCTCCACTGCCACTGAGCTCCCAGCCCTCTCCATCACACTCCATCATGGGGCTCCCGCCCACTGTGGTGGAATCCTCAGCCTGCAGTAACAGAGATCCTTGGATTTGAATGGTTGTAAGCAACAGCCACAGTATTTTGAGTTATTTCAATTTTTCTGTGTGTGTGTGTGTGTGTGTGTGTGTGTGTGTGTGTGCGCGTGCCATCAAATCAGATCTTAATGGTACAGGAGAAGATTGTCCCTCCTTCTCCAGCACAGCATCTGGTGGATTCGAACCATTCACCTCTAGGATTGCAGTGCAGCTTCTTGCCACTAGACCACCAGAGCTCACCTATTTTGAGTTCTTTCATATGCATCTGAGAGTTGGACAGTGACTAAGGATGAACAAAGAAGAATAGATGCCTTTGAATTGTGTTGGAGAAGAGTACTGAATATGCCATGGATTCTGCCAAAAGAACCAACCAATCTTTCTTGGGTGAAGTGTTACCAGGATATTCCTTGGAGGCAAAGATGATGAAGCTTAGTTTCACATACTCTGAGCATGTTGTAAGAAGGGCCAGTCCTTGGAAAAGATCATTATGCTGGGAAAGGTGGAGGGTCAGTGAAAAAGAGGAAGTTTCTCAATGAGATAGATAAATTGGCAGAGGACTGTCCCAAGGGGTTTGATCATAGGAGAGACAGTGATGACAGTTCACGATAGGGCAAGGTTCAGATCTGTTGTTTATAGGGTCCCTACTGGGTTCGACAGCCCCTAACAACAGCATGATAGTTCCATATTTAACTTAAGGCTCTTTCCCAGAATCACACAGCCATAAATGGCAGAGTTTAGATATGAACCCAGGTCTGGGTAACCCCCATTTCATTGCTATCTGTCTCACATTATCCCTTGTGGAGCCTCAGAAGGATTGTAGGATGTACTATTCAGCAACTTTTTTTTTCCCCAAATGAGGCTTGGAACCTCAGAACAAAGACCTGACAATCTTTCAGGGGAAAAAAAATCATCCCTTGATAAGCCTGTGGAAGGGCTGTGGTTTTTTTGGAATGTGCCAGTTAATTGGCATAATACTGCATAGTACCTGGGACTTTGAAATCTTGTAAGCAGTCATCTAAGACACAACAGTTGGTTTCTGTTCACCTGGAACAACACAGAAAAAGAATGAGGAGTAGGAAGTTGTTATTTTTAGGTGTCATTGAGTGACTACTACTCATAGCGATCCTGTGAACAACACATCTGAACCTTGTCCTGTGCAATCCTTAGGATCTCTGCCAAGTTCAAGCCCATTGTTACAATCACTGTGTCAGTTCACTTCCTTGAAAGTTGTCCTCCTTTCCCAGAATGATGTCTTGGCAGTCCAGTGGATTTTCAGTGCTTTTCACCAGCATCACGATTTAAAGACATTGTTTATTCTTTGGTCTTCCTTATTCATTGTCTAATTTTCAGATGCATAAAAAGCAATTGGAGGGAAAAAAAGCAATTGAAAAACACAGCTTGGATCAGGCTTACTGACATCCTTGCTCGTTAGCACTTTAGAGAGGTCCTTGATGGCAGATTTCCCCAATACGAGACTTCTTTTAATTTCTTGACTGCTGCTACTGTGGATGTTGATTGTGGATCTAGGTAAAACCAGACGGTTGACAGCTGTCTTTTCTCTGTCTATTATGGTGTTGTTACCTATTGGTCCATTATTGAGGATTTTGGTTTCTTGATGTTGGAGTAGGAGGAGGATATGGAATATGTGGCTAATTGTCTCCATTGCTCTGAGACCAGAAGGACTGCATGGTGCCCAGCCATCATTACTGATCATTTTAAGCTTTCATGGAATCTAGACTTTCTGACACCATGGAAACAGAGAAAATTCCTAAAAATTGCCCTGGCATATTCCTTAAATCTTAAACTAAAAATATCCTTCCTTTTTTTAAAAAAAATAATATTGTATTTTAATTGTGATTTTAATGAACATTTACAGAGAAGTTAGATTTTCATCATTCATTGTTGCATATTTTACCTCCTCACCCTCCTTTTCCCTTCCCGCACTTTTAAAAAAATATTCATTCATTGTTGCACCTGATGTCGTCTTAAAATCAAGGAATCCTAAAGGGAGCTCTGGTGGCCTAGTGGCAAGAGGCTGCACTGTAATCCCAGAGGTATGTGTTTCTAATCCACTAGATGCTCTCCTAAAGAAGGAGGGGCAATCTCCTGTACCAGTCAGATCCGATTTGATGGTGGTTGTTGTTGCTATGTGCCATTGAGTCGCCTGTGACTCATAGCGACCCTATGCACAACAACCCTAAACCCTGCTCTATCCCTTGCCAATCTTATTGTCTCTGACACACCTATCCCCATTACCCCAGTGACAGAATCAATCCATCTCATCGAGGGTCTTCCTCTCCTGTGCTGTCCCTCCACCCTTCCAAGCATGTCATCCCTCTCCAAGGACTGATTCCGCCTTGCAGAATGTCCAGAGTATGTCAGACGGAGCCTCAGAATCCTTGCCTTCAAGGCGCAGCCCGCCTTTACCCTCTTTAGGATGAACTTGTTTGTTCTCCTAGCAGTCCATGGTATAGTCAATACTCTTTTCCAGCACCAAAGTTCAAAGTTATCAACTCTCCTTCTATCATCCCTACTCATTGATTTTATGGTACATACACAAAAAATGTTACTGTACATACACAAGAAATAATAATTGAAAAATAAAGAAAGAAAGAATCAAGGAAGCCTTACTAGTGAGAAACACCTGCCTCGAGAATTACGTTCTTTTAAACATGGTCTATATGGGATCAAACTGGCAACAGCAACTTGAAAGATGAGATAGACACCTTATGTTGTGTTTGGCAGTTGATGTTAAATGGGAAAGTCATGATGTAGAAAGGAGGCAGGCATGGCTGCCCCTCTTGAAGAATATAATCATCCCTGCATTGTACATGTAGAAACTTTTGAATTGCTATGTATTTTACTGTGTACATGTGCAACTACAAACTTCTTTTTAAAAAACACCATGTAATGTAATTCACTTTGACACATATGGGGCTCGGCAACTAAGTGGTTTGACCTCAGGAATGTCTCACATTTACAATCGATGTGTTCCCATACCAAGCTGTAGAAATTCTGGATCTGTGAGCCTTCCTTGCCAAATTGCTTGCCACTCCCAGAATTCCCAGGTGGGTAAATGACAGTCAAGAAGAGGACCTGTCTGTAATACAGGACATATATTATATAGCCCGTGGGTGTGCCTTCTCTCAGCAGAGACTGCCTTTGAAGATTATTATTGTTCTGGGTAGAATCTAATGAATGCAAATTGCTGTCTTCTGTGGGTTAGGATTCTTTAGGTTATCAGGGACCCAAAACTGCCCAGACTGGTTTAGGTAAGAATAAATAGGGAAGGGAGGATTATGAGAGAGAGAATTCATTTGAGCAATTGAATAGTTCAAAGGGGTCTGGTTTCAAGTGCAGCGTGATCTGTTGTTATTGTTCGGTGATACTGAGTCAAGTATGACTCGTAGTGACCCAAAACACAACAGATCTGAACCCTGTCCTACCTTGTGCCATCATCATCACTGACATACTTAGGCCCATTGTTGTAGTCACGTTGTCATTCTGTCTTGTTGAGGGTCTTCCTCTCTTTCTTTGACTCCACCAAGCAAGATGTCCCTCTCCAGGGAATAGCCTTTCCTAGCAACATGTCCAAAGTATGTGAAACGACACTGAGCCTTCATTGCCTCCCGGGAGCATTCTGGCTGCACTTTGCAGGTCTCTAAGAGAGGCTGGGTCCTGCGGGATCTGGCTTCCCAGGACACTGAAGTTGGCGCCAGCAGCCCTGGCTGGTGTGTTTCTTTTTATCCCCCCAGGGAGAATCTTTTTTGGGAAACAGCCTCATAGATTCCTGGCCAATTACCTACAGGGGGAGATGAGGGACATTCTTAGTGTTTTATAGTCAGACCTGGGGCTCCGGGCAGCACTGGCCAACTTCAGAGCAAGAGTTTAGAAAACCCAGCAGGTAGAGTGAGCAACGTGGAGCCACCGCAGCACAGGGGTCTTAGGTCACAGAACCAGATAATCAGGATGCTCATATTGGACACTTGGTCACAAAGGGGTCATCTTCGATCTTTTTCACTTCCTCCCCCTGCCACATCCAGGAGACATACTGTCATTTCTACTTCCTAAATTCCTGAGGCAAGGAGTTTCTGGATAGTGTGGTTGGTTAACACACATGGTTGTTAACTAAAAGGTTGGAGGTTCAAGTCCGCTCAGAGGCATATCCGAAGACCATCCTGGCAGCCTGCTTCTGAAGACTCAGCCCTTAAACCCCGTGGAGCACAGTTCTGCTCTGACACACATGAGGTCGCCCAGAGTCAGAGTTGCAACTAGTTCACCTTTGGGATCAGAATACTTCCTCTTTTCTGCCTGAACTGCCATCGTGCCCAGGGTGACCCCTTTTCCTCTGCAGTCCCTTCAGCTATGCAGCTGGGGCCAGAGGGACTGGAAGACAAAAGTCACATGTGTCTTAGCTTTGCTAGGTGGGTCTTCAGCTTCAACTAGAATGCAAGCTCCATACCAGGGCTGCTGTGGTTCTGCGGAATATGGCCCTGCCAACCTCTGACCGACTCTGTCACTTCCTCTTTCCTCTCCAGCCACACCAGAGTCCTTTGCACATGTCATATCCCCTGCTTGGAATACCCTTGTGTATACAACCCTCCTGCTCTGTTTTCAGGCTTCAGCCTGAGTGTCAGCTCCTCATCAAAGGTCCAAGCTCTCTCAGGACACTGAGGGTGTGTAAAGTGTGTGTGTGTGCGCGCGCGCGTGTGTGTGTGTGTGTGTGTGTGTGTGTGTGTGTGTGTGTGCTCCTCAGCTAACACTCAGGGAACCTGGTGGCTGGTCCTTTTGCTTCATCCAGTCCTCCTAATCCCCCAGGCAGCACCACACCAGGGTGTTGACCATTTCTTAACCACCAGCTCTTTGCAGCCACCAGGCCTTTGCTTCTGCCAATTCTTTGACCCAGAATGCTCCTGTCTTTCCTTCTGAAACCCTGTTGATCCTTTGAGGCCCAGCTCAGATGTGCTCTTCTCTGAGAAGTATCTCAGATCCAGCACACCTGTCCTCTCCTGTCCCAAGTGCCATTCACTGTGCCCGTGTCCATCATTGTACCAGGTGTGGACGTTGGCGTCCAGTCATCTCCCCAAGCACTCCCTCTGTCTCTGCCTACAGAGCCAGTTGCTGGTGAGTGGACTCTGACTCAGTGAGACCTCAGGTGTACAGAACTGCCCCATAGGGTTTCCAGGGCTGTGGCCTTTCTGAAGCCAACTGACTGTCAGGCCCTTCTTCCAAGGCATCTCTGGGTGAGTTTGAACCACCAAGCTTTTGGTTAGCTTAACTCGGCCACCCAGACAGACCGCTGACAGACTAGATTTCTGACTCTCAGTTGGATGATGATGTTGGTGGTGGTGGTGTTGTTGTTATGCACCATCGAGTCACCAGTGACTCATCGTGACCCTGTATACAACAGCTCTGAAGCCTGCCCTCTCCTGAGCAAGTCTCCCTGATTCCATCACACCAGCCCCCATTGCCCCAATTACTGTATCTCTCCATCTCATCTGGAGTCTTCCTCTCCTGTACTGTCCCTCCTCCCTTTCAAGCATGATGTCCTTCTCCAAGGACCGGTCTCTCCCAGCCATGTGCCCAAAATATGTGAGACAGAGCTTCAAAAATCCTAGCATCAAAGGAAAGACATGGTTTCACCCTCTCCGAGACAGACCTATTTGTTTTCTTGGCAGTCTGCTCAAAACTCTTCTCCAGCACCACAACTCAAAAGTATTGATTCTTCTTCTGTCATCCCTAGTCACTGTCCAGCTCTCCATTGCATAGCAAGTAATTGCAAAGGCCATGACATGGATCAGACACACATTACTGTCTAGATTGGTATCGTTGCTCTTCAGCAGTCTGTAGAGGTCCCAGACAGCAGATTGTTCCCAAAACAATTTGTCTTTTGATTTCCTGACCTCTGGTGTTAAGAGTGTTGATTGTGAAGCCAAACAAGCTGTAATTGTTAACAGCCTCAATCTCTTCTCCATCTATCATGGTTCTGCATTGGCCCAATGGTGAGAATGGTATTACTGACTTTAAATTACCTGGCTTAAATCTAAGATCTATGACTTCCCACCTGTGTCCTTGAGCTAGTTACTTAAATTCTTTGAGCCTCAGTTTTCTCATCTGTAAAATAAGGTGATCTTTGTGCCTGCCCCATCAGATTGTTGCAGGAACAAAATGGGTTAATAAATGTCAAGTGCTTCGCAGTGGACCTGCTATACAGTAAGGGATGAGTAATGTTAGGACTTTTTCTTGCTCGTACCTGGCTGAGGCTCATGTGCAGGCTGAGGCTGCAGTGCACGCTTGCCGAGTCAGCCACTCCTAACAGTCTTCCCGTCTTTTTCCAGAGCTGGACCGGGGCCTCACCGAGCCCCAGATTCAGGTCGTTTGCCGCCAGATGCTGGAAGCCCTCACCTTCCTCCACAGCAAGAGGATCATCCATCGGGACCTGAAAGCTGGCAATGTGCTGATGACCCTCGAGGGCGACATCAGGCTCGGTAAGGGAGTGCTACAGGAATGAGGGACATGCACCAGCGGGAAGCCCAGGGTGAGGAAGAGGTGCCCACAGGGTGCTCGTGTCAGTCCACGTGGCCTCCCAGGGTGTTCACAGTCCTTCCCCGCCTCCACCCTGTCCACAGGCTGTGTACAGTCCCCACCGTCCTGTCTGCATTAGTTCTTAACCAGAGATGATGTCTCCAAGGACGCTGGGCCATGCTGGCAGACATTTTTAGTTGTCACATTGCAGTGGTGATCTGGCATCTTAATGGGCAGAGACTAGGGGTGCTGCCCAATATCTTCCAGCATATGGATGAAAACAGAACCTGCTCCCCACAGAGGATGATCTGACCCCTGTAGCCATTAGTGCCGATGTGGGAAACCTAGGGCTAGTTGCACTTCTCTGGCTTCCAATCACAAGGGTCTGAGGGAGAGAGAGATGGGACAAGGATGGCCATCCTCCTCATGTGTAAAGTGGGCCGAAACTTTAATTTCTAATGTGTCCTTTCTCTTTGTATATGTGTGCATGGTGTGTGTGTGTGTGTGTGTGTGTGTGTGTGTGTGTGTGTGTGTGTGTGTGTGTATAAACCAGTTGGAAACAATTCACAGCTAACTCTGCAGGGTCAGTCATGAGGGTTGGAAACATGCAGTACAGGAACATCCTCCCTTTAGGGCCCTGCAGCTCAGGGCGGTCAGGGACCTGCCTCGGGTCACGTAGCAAGGGCAGGCGGCTCCCACATCCCTGTGCTCAACTCCTTGGCACTTTGAGATGATGGGTACAGGCTAGGGATTAAAAGATGTACAGATGGCTGAGCCTGACCCCCAAAGGTTCTGAGTGATATAGTCAGTCCCCATGACTCAGTCTAGCCCAGTGATTTTGAATTAGGGGCAGTATTTCCTCCCAGGGATATTAGGGAGATCTGAGAATATGCATCTCTAGCCAGGATCTCAGCTGGTCAGGACCTTCGAGGTCCCTGCTATAGGTTTGCGCTTTATTAGAGGTACCCGGACTGAGGGCTCGTCTTAGTGGGGAAGTCACTGGGGTGGGATGAAGGACTCCCACAGCTGTGTGCTGAGGTGCACCTAGTGGGGTTTTCATCCCCTCCCCCACACCACCTACCCCACAACACATATCAAAACTCAATAAGCCAGCTGCTGTGGAGTTTGTACCAATTTATGGTGACTTTGTGCGTCAGAGTACAAACTGTGCTCCGCAGGGTTTTCAAAGGGCTGATTTTTCAGAAGTAGATTGCCAGGCCTTTCTTCTGAGGTGCCTCTGTGTAGATTCAAACATCCAACCTTTTGGGTGAGCAATTGAGTGCACTGACCCCATTTTAAAGAGAATGGAAATCCAATTTTTCTGTAAACTTTTGTTAAAATCACAATAAAAATAAAAAAGAAAGGAAGACACACATCCCAGCATGTTTTCAGAGGAGTCTGATTCAAGGCAATTGCATGTGTCCTGGGGACAGCTGTGCTCTGGGAGCTTTCAAGGCTGTGACTTTCTGGAGAAATATCTGCACGCTCCTCTGGGTTTTGTTTGGTTGGTTTTTATCCCACCCCCTTGGTTAGTAATCAAGTGCTTAACTGATTGCAATAGAAGGAACCATGTTCAAGTCACACACACCCTAATGTAGAGAGCTGACTGGAACCTGGGACCCTCCTCAGAACCCAGCAGAAGGTTGACTCATGTAAGTGGGAACACTTTATTTCAAAATGAGATGATTTATCCTTGAGAAGTCCAGGAGAGCAATGAAGGAGGAAAATAAAAACGTTCACCAAGAAAGAGTTGAATGTGCAGTATTTACACTTACCACAGTTGAGCCCAGGAGCCACAGTGGGGGCCTGCTGAGACCTGTTGTTCTGTTTTGGAGAAGTGTCCTCCCTCCTGGGGCCCCGAATCTGTTGCTTAGAAGGGGCCCCAGGAGGCTAAAGTCCTTCTGTCTGTCTCTTCTTATCTTCCTGGCCCCGGCTTGGGTCCCTGGAGACCCAGTCCCTCCCCTCGCCCCATCTCCTGTAGCTTGGGGACTCACCAGAAAATTGCTCCAGCAGATTTTTCTCCCAAGCAGATACATTGTCTTGTAGGAGATGGCCTCTGAGGTTCCCAGCAGGGTGGATCTAGAATGAGAGAGTGAGCTGAGCAAAATGTTGGTCCTCTCTGCAGATCTGAGTTCACATCTGGGCCTGCCACTTCAGAGCCATATGGCCTCTAGAAACTTACCCCTGTGGCCTTGGTTGTTTGATCTATGCAATGGGGCCAAGGCCAGTTCTTCTGGGGTGAAGGATGCAAAACACGGTCACCGAGTCTCTCAGGGTTAATCTCTCTCTGTTAATGGATGTTTATGTCTTTCTTGTGTTAAATGTTTACTTCTGTCTAGGGTTTCAGGCTTCTTTTGAGATTCATTTGATAGTTACCTATAAAGCCCGCATTCCAGCTTTGGGTGGATGGCCAGCAATTCTCAACTGGCTGCTGGGAATTCATTTTTACAGAGAAAGGGAGGCCATCTCCTGCTCTGGGACAATTGGGGTCTAGATGGAGTATAGACTTTGAAGTTCAAAGTTCTATGTTTTTGTTTAGTAAGAGATTTATAGAAAAATTTTGTAATATTACTATTTTTATTTTAACACAAAACAATTTAACTTTTTTTTTTGTCTTTCTGCTGTTTTTCTAATAAGTGCAAGCATTATTAGTGATTCTAGACACTAGAAGGGCGCTCTAGTGGTTAGAAGCGGCCTAGTGGCTAGAAGCTGTGCTGCAATCTCAAAGGTATGTGGTTTGAGGCTACCAGCTGCTTCTTGGCAGAAGGATGGGCAGTCTCCTTCCGTGCAATTAACTGCCTCTGAAAACCTGCTGAGGGTCAGCTCTGGGTCAGTTATGACTCTATGATACTCAGCAACAGCAGCAACAATGGGCCACTTGGAAGTTGGATGACCTTGGCCAAATTGTTTAACATTTTTTTTTTAAGTCCTCATAAATAAAGTTTTATCAGAATACAGCCATGGCTATTTGCTTATATGTTGCTTGTGGCTACTTGTGACAGGAGAGTTGAATATTTGTGACAGAGACCACAGAACCTACATTATTTTTTGTCTGGCTCCTGGCCCTTTACAGAAAATGTGGGTCCACGTTAACGTAGACCCGTAGCATAACCATTTTCGAGCCTCCGTTTCCTCAGTTCTCATGGAGTTGGTGTGTGGAATGCAGAGCGCACTGTGTAAGAGGTTTTCAGCGGCCATCGCGTAGCTGATTGATGTGAATCCCGTGTGACTTAGAGTACCGCCGGCATCCACAGGCTTTGCAGTGGAAGTAGATCCTCAGGCCTTTCCTTCGAGGCACCCCGGGTGAGCAGGAACCATTCCATTAGGAGCTGAGCCTGCTGATCATTCACACCCCACAGGCCCTCCCCAGCCCAGCGGAGACCAGCAGATAGACATTCATTATCTTTCCCAAACACGAGCTGAGTAATGCTTCAAAGAAACTACTACAAGAATGAGTGTCCCCCACTTCTCCAAGAATCTCGTGTTTCCCCTTTTCTTTTTTTTAAAATTTATTTTATTTTTATTATTTGTTTGTGTGTGTACCGTCAAATCAGATTTAACTGGTACAGGAGGAGATGGTTCCTCCTTCTCCAGCAAAGCATCTGGTGGATTTGAACCGCACACCTCTGGGATTGCAGTGCAGCTTCTTGCCACAAGCGTGTTCCCCCTTTTCTGAAGATAGAGGCAAATGTTCCTCTTTGGGGAGTCTTTCAAGTTCTAAGCATAAGTCATTTAGGATGTGTTATCTATACAGTTGAGCCACATTACAACTTGGAGTGACCAGCACAGAGGCTAACACATAATAGGTAGCAGTAGTTTCGAGCATGACTGAGACTACTTTGTTAATAATCACATGAGTCTAGTTGCCTGAAAGACAAAAAATAATAATAAAAAGAAAGACACCTTTGCTACTTAATAAGAGCCCCATTGAATAGATGGGGAAACTGAGGAGGAAGGTGAAGTCATTTGTCTTGGGCTATATTGGGATCTTTTCATTTCCCTTCCTGGTACTGTTGCCATGGCACCTCGCTGCTGAAGACAGATCATCTGTCATCAGGAGATATCACCAGGGGCCTTGCTGGAAACCTTCTTCCTAATGAGCCCAGCCTGAAAGCCTTTGCTTTCTTTTCTCCTTTTTGTTCTGGTAGCTTAGTGCATTGCGCTGCCAACCCAAAGGCAAGCAGTTCAAAACCACCAGATGCTCCTTGGAAGAAAGATGGATAGTATCCTCCCCTGCAGTGTATGGTCTCTGAAAACCTCCTGTAAAGGGTCACTATGAGTCTATTCCACCTGCACAGCAGTGAGTTTTTCTATGAGACCTGGTTTCAGTGGAACCACTTAACTGTTTCCATCATGCAGGGACTCCTGCCCCCTCCACCTTCAGCATCCCTGTCTGTACCACAACAGCCCTGCTAGTGTCTGTTCATGAGGCACTACTGTTGGCCATTTTGGGCAAAAAAGTTTTCAATGGGCGTTTCCCTATCTTTCGTTCACTTAATTCCTGGAGTACACTGATTTATTGTAATCCTTGCCAAACGCCCACTTCCAGGTGCCCCCAGAGCTGCATGGTACCACCCCGATGGTGAGTTATCTAGAAGATCACCAAAGCTAGGATTCTAGGATAATCTTGCCCAAGTGGAGTAGGAACTGGGAGATTGTCGGCCAGGAGAACAGGGGAGGCGGAAGAGCGCAGAGCTATAACTGCACAGAAGCTTGCCTTTAATTTGCCTAGAATTGCCTGTGACAAAGTTCTTCTAATCTTAGATTCTTTTGGCCACTTTCCATGAGATTAGGTGAGAGACTCTTTTGTATATTATCACACATTATAAATTCATAGCTTGTGTATGTATGTCTATTTAATATATAATGCGTCTTATACTATATAGACAAGGAGCACTGATGGCCTAGTGGCAAGAAGCTGTGCTGCAATCCCAAAGACACGTGGTTCAAATCCACCAGCTGC